ATATCAAACCTTTAAGATATTTATGTGAAGCTTTGTGTTGTTGCCTAAAATGCTCTTGCCTAGTGGTATTACTGCCCCAAGTACAAGGCAAGCATCTGTGATATCAGTGTTATCTTTTGCCTCCTCTGCATGCGGGCAGTCTCCCAGCTGCTGCTTCTTGCCATTGCACTGGTGCTAAAAACAAGGTCGCTAATTTGGGTGATTTTATGTAATGCTGACTGTTTGCCCATATGTGGCAGGTGATGTAGGAAAAGGTAGGAAATAATTTTTTAAAGCCTTCCTTGTTAACATGGTCATTAGCCCTGTTTTTAGAACAGTAATTTAAATGGGTGGATTCCGGAGTTGGTTTATGTGCTTGAAGTTGAGCTGTTGAAGGAATAAATTGAAGAACAGCTTTAAAGAAGTAAGATAATACTGTGGTGTTTTAAACTAAGAAACAATTTCTTTTTTCAAAGAATTTCCAGAACAGAAGTTGTTTGCTGCTCTTCTGATCAAGTGCGTTGTACAACTGGAACTCATTCAGACTATCGACAACATTGTGTTCTTCCCTGCAACTAGCAAAAAGGAGGATGCAGAGAATCTAGCAGCAGCACAAGTAAGTAAAATTTACAGGTGTATTCCCTCTTTAACAGCTTTTTCTCAAGTGGACAAAGTTTCATAAACTCGTGTAACATCAGAATTTACAGCTTTTAGAAGTGTTAGAGAACTTGCAGCAGACTGACATCTTTTACAGCTTGTGTAAAATTGGGTTTGCTGTGCTTCTGTAGTATACTGTGGAGATCAGAAAGTTTACTGTTCAGAGATCTCTCCAACCTGGGATGCAGGTGCAATTTTTCATACAGTTTAAGTACAGGCACAGATGAAAACAGGGTAGGATTGCGGTGTCACAGGAGCTTAATGAAGGCACTTGTCAATTCTGACCCGAAATCTTTTTTTCCCCAAATAGAGAGATGCAGTAGAGTTTGATGTCCACGTGGATACACAAGATCAAGGGATGTATCGTTTTCTGACATCACAGCAGCTTTTCAAACTCCTCGATTGTCTGCTAGAATCTCACAGGTTTGCTAAGGCATTTAATTCCAACAATGAACAAAGAACGGCCCTCTGGAAAGCAGGTGAGTCAGTCAGTCTCTGTGGGGAGAGATTCTTCATGAACATGCTGCTGTGCTTTGAATTGATGGGAAAAAAAAAGTCTAAAAATACTGTGATGCTGTAATTTTATAACCTTAGACACCCCTAAGTGAAGGAGACCCCATCTATACGGATGCAAATGCCTTTTGAATTTCCAAAGATGTAATGGGTTGCCTTTGGGTGTAAACAACTGCCAAGTTAAACACTGGCTGTAGGTGTGAGTCCTGTGTTTTGAAACTGCAGGTACAAAACAGTGTTAGGAGGGTTGTGGGGCTAACAAGTCTGTTCTTGAAATATGTGGTGTTTTCCAAAACACACTGAAAATGGAATCTCTGTACTGGAGCAGTTCAATCTACTCCTTGCACTAAAATTAGCAATATTAATCTATAAATACATAGTATACATTATAAAATAAATAGTTAGACATATATATTTATATACATGTATAAACATGTATTTTTACTGTTCATATGTATTATATGTTATATGTTAACAAATATAACATGTTCCATACTGTCTATATGCAGGACACGCTCAGGAGAGGTACGAAAAACTTAAGTGAAACAAACAAAACCCTAAATGGGTTCTTTGAATTTCTTTAGGTTTTAAAGGCAAGTCCAAGCCCAATCTTCTGAAGCAGGAGACAAGCAGTCTTGCCTGTGGGTTACGCATTCTGTTCCGCATGTACATGGATGAAAGCCGAACCAGTGCGTGGGAAGAAGTCCAGCAAAGGCTGCTGAAGTAAGGGCCATATAGCCATGTTAATGTTATCTCTGTTAAAGAATGTGCTGGTTTGGGTTTGCTTGTTTGTAGTAAACTTACTTGAGTGGTCCCAGCTAGCATGTGGGTAGGTGAGGGATTTTTACTATATATATATATATATATATCAAATTCTTTATTTTTTTTTTCTTCCACTAACTTCAGCTGTTTTAGGGAACTGATGCTGTTTGTTCTCATCTGTAGAAATGAACACAGGCTTTCAGGATCTATGTACCTTTCAGGGCACATAGAAGCTTGTGGCATATTGTTTTTTCATTGTTGAGTATTAATTGTAATCCACTCAGATTTACTTGAACATTTTTACTTTGTGAAGTCCTTCAAGCCAGAGTTGGAATAACAGAGAGCTTCAAACCATGGTGGAGAAAGAGTGAAAGTATTTTAAGATTTAATAGACCAAGGAGCAAAGATGAAAAACTGTTCTTGTATCAGCACAAGATTCAGTCTGTCCTATCATTTTGTCTTGCATTCTAACGCCCCTCAGAGAGCATTTGGTACCACTTATGTAGATGTGCAAACGCTGCCATTACAGTTAAGTATTGAGATCCTAGGGCTTTGGTTTTCATTTGAGCAAAGCCATTGCTTTTTGTTAATCATGAGACTTATAGTAGCTTTCCCAGAGCAGTGTGGTTCTGTGCCGGTTTTATGTGCTGGTGTAGCTAGTTACAAAGCCAAAGCTCACCTTACAGTAGAGTTCAAAGTACAACGTGAGTTACTGGTTTGTGTCTTCTCTCTCCAGTGTCTGCAGTGAGGCTCTGAGTTACTTTCTTACTCTCACATCGGAAAGCCATCGGGAGGCCTGGACTAATCTACTGCTCTTATTTTTGACTAAAGTTCTGAAGATAAGTGATGAAAGGGTAGGTAATGGGAACTACTTGAAATGCTGCATTAAATATCATTCCAAACCAGCAGCTCTTTGCACACATACTTTGCTTCAGAAGTTCCTGCTGCTCTGTAGGGTTGTGTGTTGTAGAAATCTGTTGTGGCTGCACTTGATGGTTACCAATGACTGCATTGCAGAATGGGGGTGCAGTGACTGCTGAGCTGTCTGAGAATATTTTAAAGATGCTAAAATCGTTTAGAAATGTGTATTAAGTCACTTTTATGCCTCTCCTGTTGAGGGGAAGGGTTAGTGGCTGGTACTACTTTCAAAGTGCTTGGAAATAACTCTTTGTTTTGCTTCCCATGTTGCACATGAATCACCTTGACCTTTTCCAAAGCAGTTCTGGATTAAATAAATCTGTATTTAGATCTCCCTCCATTTCTAGCAGAACTGGGCTGAATTATTAAGTGAAGGAGCATAACCACAACCACAGACACAACGGAAAAGGGCAAAATTCTTCCTATTGAAGAGTAAGAGTTAGAGATCTGTGTGCAACCAGTGAGCATGTCAGAAGGGTTGACAGCTGCCTTAGCCTTATCCCAGCACTGCAAGCTTCTGTTACAGTGATACTTCAGCTTGTCACTTCATGGATTTCTCACTTTGACTTAGGAGGGCATTTAAAATTCTTCACTTGCAGGCTTTCTGAGGTGTGCTGATGCATAATGGAATAACCTGGACTGTTTGTTTGTTTTCTCCTCAGTTCAAGGCTCATGCCTCTTTCTACTATCCTCTCTTGTGTGAAATTATGCAGTTTGACCTTATCCCTGAACTCCGAGCTGTTCTGCGAAGGTTTTTCCTGCGGATCGGCGTGGTTTTTCAGATATCCCAACCACCAGAGCACGAGTCTGCAATAAGCAAGCAGTAGCACGTAGTGATTGGGGGTTGCTCCCTTGAAAGTGTGAACTCCTCAGCTAAATAAAAGGACCAGGGAGCTGAGCCGTTCTGTCTGGACATCCATAGAAATGGTTTCTTTGTGCGGCAGCGTGTGTCTAAGGATGAATGGTACAGATGCTTACACCTGTAATTAAGGCTTGCAACACTCCAGTCCCTTTATTTCCTGATGGATTGTCTGTGGGTTTCTCTGCCCTGGCTGGTGCTGAGCACAGAGCCAGTTTTTAGCACAGTCCTCTCATCAGCGTGGGCTGCGCCATCCTGTCCTGTCCTAGACAGCAGTATAGCAACACGTGTTTGTGGTGGGTGTGAAAGGAAAACGTACCCAAAGAACTCTGTATGTAAAGGTTTGAGCTTCTGCGAGAAGTACAACTCAGGAGAGCTGTATTTTGAAGGATCAAATGTTTATAGTGAAAAGAAAAAGGAGATTATTGTTCATGGTAAAAGTTATTTAGCGACTATGTCTGATATTCTAAGATTTTTTGCACACTCAGGCTGACTGAGACATCGGTAATCATCCTTCTGTGAAAATGTACAGAGATGCAGGTCTGTAATATAAACTCTTTAACACTATACAGTTCTTCCTGAATTGTTTTATTTCTGTATTTTTGATTTGTTGAAAACCCATAACACTGAATTGTTTACCAAATGCACTAGAAGTTTGGGTTTATTTTTGGGGGGTTGTGGTTTATTTCTCTGGTTTTGTTGTAGCCCAGCAGTTAGTGTTGCTGACTTCGGTCAAGAGCAGAGGTAGAAGTACCACGACTGACATAACTACCTGTAATATACTTGTTTTAGGGCTTCTCAGTATAACGAGCCATCAAAACGATGATCCTTCAAGGACTGGAACTTGAATCACTGCAAACAAGTCTAGGTTGTGTCTGCTGTCACATGTTTTTTTGTTTGATGTAGATTTCACTCTGATGTACAGAATTTAATGTTGAATATATTCGAGTAACAAATCGGGCATGGTTTGGGGATGGTTAAATTTATTGGAAATGTATTCATACTGTGAATTGTGCTCTGATGGTTAAAAGACAAGATTGTCAAGCATTCTGTATTACAATGGATGTAGAAATTTTTTTCAGATGGACAAAATGTATATGGTACAGATATGTAAAGTTTTCTATGTAAAAAAAATTCTGTACAACTTTCTGTACAATATTTGGTTCTCATCTGGCATACTCTAATCGGGTTATAGGTCAATAAAGTTTTTGAACTCTTTCATCAGTGCAATCAAAACCAGCCTAAGCCACAGCACTTGTTTTATACTTTCCTTTGCCATGGATCCACTACTTGGAACTGAGGGAGAGGAACAGAGTGGACAGCAGCAGGGCACTGGAAGGCAGAGCTGGAAGCAGTTCAGTGCAGTAGCTGGGGAAAAGCCACTGAGGGGAATTAAAGGGCCTGACCTCCATGTAGTTTGCACTCACTCATAATGTTAATTGGGGTGTAGCAAAAAGAGCGCTGCCTACTGAGCTGTTAGTCTGGTTTCTGTCTACATGGCTGTGTGCCATCCAGTATTCAGCATCCATGAGCGCTGGTGCCTTGTAAAACCTTACTGTTTTATTTCCCTGTGGTGTATTCCCTACTTTAATAGTCATTTTTCACTGTGTTATCCTTTTGTGCCCTTCTTCACTTTACTGCTTGAGTGGAAAAGACTGAGTAGCTGTTCAGTGTTAGTCCACAGGCAGCATTTCCTCATCAAGTCTGTGATACCTTCTAATAGGAATTAGAGATTGGTTCGCAAATCCCCAATGTCATTTCTCTCATGCTGACCTCCAGGTCTTGCTGTGCTCCAGCCCTGCAGCTGCAGGGAGAGGTGGGAACACTGTTTCACTGGTGAAAGATGAAGATGAAACAGGCATGATTTTAAATTATTAATAAATAATAAAATTAACTGGACTTGGGCTGTGCAGAAAGCTGAAGGAAGGATTTGGAAGATCTTTTTTGAAGAACCAAGAGGTTTGGGAATAGCATGGTGGATGTAGTGGGAAGGTAACCGTAAGCAAAAGAGAAGGGAGTTGTGCTAAAAGCTGTGGACACTGCTGAAGAGCAGAGCTTCTGCTCAGCCATGGCTTTTTCCTGCTTTGAAGAGGGCCTTGGCACTCTGCTTCCTTCATGAAAAGGAAAGTGACTGACAGCAACTGCAGTTCTAATACAACTTCAGTCTGCTTTCAGATTTTTAGTAACAAAATAATTTATTATTACCTCTTAAATCAGAAACATAAATATATACCACATTTTCTATATCTCCAACACAAACCAAGTTAGGAAGGTAAGATATAATGCTAACAGACCTTCTAGCATACAAGAACTGCTCACCTCCCCAGCACCCCAGCACACATTCAGCACTGAGAAAGTGGCCACCGCCAGGTTGTCCATTCTTTTGGTAAAAGCTCAAACTGCATCTCTGTTGTGCCACTATTTGAAAACAAACACTCCTGGAGTTTTGCTATGTAAAGATAAAACATAACTCTGATTTAATATCAAATTCCCACACACACTGTTCCTTACAAATTCACCTCCAAGGCTGAAACGAACTTGTATAAAAAGTGCAAAAAAAGCCAAAATACTTCACTGCCCCACTTCCACTTGCATGTAGTACAGAATTCTGCTCTGAGGATCCCCACTGCACTGCAGCTTCCATTTCTTCATTATTGCTACTTGAAATTACACACAGAGCTCCATGCTATTCACATTGAGTACAGCTGGATAAATGAGAGACCCTAAAAGTGCAGTAGTGCCAAACAGAACGCTCCCTTCCCTTGCTGCAAGGCACACGTGGGTTCCACACAGGCTGTGCTCAGCCATGTGCAGTGGAGAGGCCCTGCCAGCCCAGTGGCAGCGTGCCCTCAGGAGGCAGCTTTGCTGGGCTCTGCTGCTCCATCACAAACCTGCGCAGCGTTGCTGCCGTTCCCGGCCGCAGCCAGGGCTCTGTGGCAATGGAGTCAACAGAACTGGGCGGGCGGCTGTCCTTGGCTGGGGGGGGCTTCAGCAGGTCATCTGCTTCTCCTAGGATAACATCCTCACCTGCAGGGAGAACAACACAAGTGAGCTGAAGGAAAATCATAGAAGGGCCTGGATTGAAAAGGACCACAATGATCATCCAGTTTCACCCCCCTGCTATGTTCAGGGTCACCAACTACCAGACCAGGCTGCCCAGAGTCACATCCAGCCCAGCCTTGAATGCCTCCATGGATGGGGCATCCACAACCTCCTTGCACAACCTGTTCAGTGCATCACCACCTGTGTGAAAAACTTCCTCCCAGAGAGAAAACATCATCATCCCTACACTAAACATCCTGATTTGCCTGGCCTAAGCAAAAACAAAAGTAACAAAGAAGCATTGTTATTAAGACCCATTTCAGATGTTATGCAGGTCAGGGCCCACTGCAGGTAGATGCCCACACACCTTCCCTGCCAATGCCAAGAGCTTCTCCTGTGCCACACCAACACAGGGCTGATGTGGGCAGACCCCAGTGTACCTGCCCAGCTGCTCACACTGCCCCAAGCCTCCTGGCACAAAGGCATATCTCATGTACCAGTGCACAGATGCAGAGAAAAATGAAGCCACTGAGTGACAGCATTACGGCTGAGCACACTCAGTGAGACAGTCTGTTCACACCCAAGAAATAAACAGCTTAGCACAGGTAAGCAGGGCAAATGCAATTACCTGCACAGATCGCATTCCAGCACAGCTAGTAACTGTAATGCAATGTTGTTCCAAGAAGTGTGCTTGGTGAGCCCGCTGCCAGCTGCTTCTCTTTGGAACATGGGTCCATTACCACTCTGAAGGCTATTATTACTGTTTTTACAGGTCAGTCATTGATACAGACCTTGTATCTTAGGCACAGTGCAGCATGGACTATCACAGCGATGCTTTTTTATTACTATTATCATATATGAATATGAGAAAGATAGACATACAGCACTTATTTTTATTGTTCCTGTCTTGAAAGACAGTAGTACTTAAGTTTGGGCAGATGCAGCCTCTGTTCTTATTTACCTTTTCCAGCACCTGGAAGTACGAATGGTTACAAAGAAGAGATGACAAAACGAGGGCAGAGAGCAAAAGAAGTTCACAGGGCAAAAATGGACTAATTTGGATGAACTAAAAATCAGCAAATCCATTTGTTTGGATTACAGAAGGAAAAACAAAAAAAACCTACCATCCATATTCATTAAGTACTGAAAATCTGAGCAAAGTGATTATAACAAACTAAAAAACTGGTTGCAAGAGAACCCAACAGAAACAGAAAACCTGTCAGCAGCTGTAATCTCATTCATCTCATACTCTCATGTTTATAAAAAGGTACTGACACTGTAATTACCAGACAGCACAGTGATTGCCTGAATGAAAAAAAGATTTCTGTCTTATATGAAAGAATTCATTAGCACAAATCACATCACATGAAAAATGAAAGGCCGGGCCTCCCACCAACATCAGTCAGGGTTTGCTCTCTTTCCATCAGCATTGCCACCATGCTGCTGTAACCCACATGGCACCCTGCAGTATGAGCAGTGGTACAGACAGGACAAGTAGCAGAGCATGATGAGGTAGCGCTCAGAGCATCTTGTCCCACTGTGCTCTTCTAAGCTTAATCTACAACACACTGTTTGAAGCTTGCTGGAAGCCTCTCGCAACAGCAATTCCTATTGGAGCCAGTCACTCTGTTCAGCTACAGGCAGTGTATGAACGCTCATTCCTTTGACTGCTGTACTTACCTAGAGATGACACAGTAAATCCTAACACACGGGCATACCTAAGTGAGCAGATCTCTGCTGGAGCTCGGTCAGCCTGCGCACTCGTTCTTCGTTTCTGCCTTTCATCTGATCAACATCCAGGCTGAAGTCGGAGTGCAAGGACACACTGTCAGGCTGCAGCAGCAGCGTCTGGGCTGGTGGGACATCTTCCTGCAGAAAATGCAACACCACAGAAATCCTGCAGTTACACAGCTGTCCTGGTTTGGCTAGGACAGAGTTAATTTCCTTCACAGTTGAAGATGTGGCACCATGTTTCAGATTCAGGAAGAAAATAATGTTGATAGCACATCAGTGTTTTCGTTATTGCAGAGCAGTGCTTACATCAAGTCAAGGACTCTTCAGCTTATCACACTGCCCACCAGCAAGGAGCTGGGGGTGCGGCAGCTGCTGGGAAGGGACATAAACTGGAAGCAGGACAGCCCTCTGGCCAGTTAGGTCAGCTATCTCACATGACAAAACACAGGCAACGATAGAACTGGAGGAGCTGGCGGAGGGGCTGCCACTACTCGGGGACTGTCTGGGTACAGCTGGCCGCTGGTGAGCCATTGCGTTGTGCATCGCTTTTGTTTTACTCATTCTTCTCTTCATTTTGCTTATTCTTTTTTTTCTTCTTATTAAACTGTCCTTACCTCAACCCATGAGTTCTCACTCTTTTTTTTAACCTTTCCCCAGTTCTCTCCCCCAGCTCCCCGGGAGGAGTGCACAAACAACCGTGTGGTGCTGAGCTGCTGCTGCATTACACCACTGCGTTCCTTCTGGTACCCAACGTGGGCTGAGATAGCAACAGATCTGACCACAGCGTGTTAGAGAGAACATCTGTTTATATTTTTCGTAATTATCACAGTATTTTAATAATTGCTGTCCACAATGTTCATTTGTTGGCTCACAGAGTTGTTCTGGTTCCTCTCAAAGCTGCTTTGGTTGTTCTCAGAGCTGCTCTGGTTGCTCTCAGGGCTGCTTTGGCTGCTCTCAAAGCTGTTTGGTGCAATCCCTTTCTTGCTGTACTTGCTCCCTGTTTTGCTGTTTATCAGTGCAGAGGGCTGGTTGGAGACTGCTTTGGGTCTTCTCACTCTGCTGTACTGCATTAGACTCACAATGTGATAAAAGCACCTGCTGTGTGCATAATCTACTGCTGCACTCAGCATTGCTGCCATCCTTGTACTTTGGAAACCATCTCTTGGAAACTATCAGCAATTACACTTTTTACCTTTCCTTCTCTGAGAATCAACCCTTCTCCTCCGGGTCAATTAGAAGAATGCTTGAGAATTGTGTATACCCTTGGGATACTCAAACCAGCATGTTGTTATTGCTGTGTCCCCTGAGCAGGTTTCAGGTTTTGTTCTGAGGTTAAACAACTATTTGAGACCACCATCCAGAGCTCTGCCCCAAGGCAAGACAGCTGTGAGGGCATGGGCAGGCACCCAGAACATGGGGCACCTCCAATGCATTGCAACTTCACCCTAAGCAAGTGCAGAGATCTGAAAAAGTGATTGAAATGTTACACCATCACCTGGCAGCTCTAAAGAGACGCAAATCACTACAGCATGCCAGGGCCTAGCCTACCTAGCCTCATTCAACTCCATTCACCACCCTCAAGAGGAAGAGACAGCCTCTGGATCTGACAGCAACAGACCCACAACAGATACTGTGGATAATCCAACCCCTGCAACAGACACCATGGCTGAGCCGTCACAGGTATCCAAGTCTCCCCAGCAGTCAAGGAGAAAGAATGGAAGCAGAAGTCAGCTCACTCAGTAAGGGAAGAACCAGCTTCTCCTAAACAGGGAGCAGGAGAAAGCGTCAGAAGAAACAAACTGCTACAGTGCATTCATAAGAACAGGAGGTTGATGTGACAGAACTCCATAAACGAGACAAAAACCACCAGATCCCTACCCCTGGGTGAGCTGAGACACATGCTAAGATTTCAAGACAAACCCATCTGGGTCACCACAGCATGGCATGATATTGCTGCCCAGGTAGAGAACATGATGATAACAGCACAGCACGTAGATGCCCATGTACCCAAGAGTCTTCACGCGCTGAAGAACACCAGAACCATCAGAAGGTGAATCAGGCTGCTAGGATTGAAGTGACTCAGGTAGATCTTGACTGGCAATGTAAAGGTGAATTATTTCTAGCTCAATGGGCCATGCCACTTCAGGCCATCAAGAAAGAGGTGCAACATACAATTGGGATAGGGATCAAGGGGTGGGACTTACCATGGACACTGTTGCACAGGTTATCCATGGATGTGAAACATGCTGGAGTTAAGCAAGCCTCTTTGTATGGAGGGCAATGGCTGAAATATAAATACAGGGAGGCCTGACAGGTGGATTCTATCGCCTTCTCACTCACAATAATGGTAAGTGCCATATACTTACAATTGGGGAAGCAAACACTGGATGGCTGGAAACATATCTCATGCCCCACACCACCAACCAAAATATCATCCTGGGCCTTAAAAAGCAAATCTTATGGTGACGTGGCACCCCAGAAAGAACTAAGTCAGACAATTGGACTCATTTCTGAAACAACCTCAAACACCTGGGCCAAAGAGCACAGCACTGAGTGAGTGCATCACATTCCCCACCATGCACCAGCCTTTGGGAAAATGGAATGATACAGTGGACTGTTAAAAACTACATTGAGAGCAATGGTGCTGGGATATTCAAACACTGGGGCACACATTTAACAAAAGTCACCTGGTTAGTCAACATTCAGAGATCTGCCAGTCAAGCCGGCCTTGCCCAGTCAAAACTCTTATGCTCTGTAGAAGGAGATAAAGTCCCTGCAAAGTCCTGCGTAGAGCATCACAGTCTGGGTTATTCCTGCCTCAAGCAAAGGCAAACCCATCCATGGGGCTGCTTTTACTCAAGGACCTGGGTGCACTTGGAGGGGTAATGCATAAACATGGGAAAGTTTGCTGCATACCTCCAGGTGATTTGATGTTGGTGAGAACAGCCAATAGTTTGTGCCCAGTTCTGAGCTCCTTAGTTCAAAGACAACAGGGATTGCCTAGGAGGAGTCCAGTGGAGGGCCACAGAGATGATTAAAGACCTGGAACATCTCCCTAATGAGGAAAAGCTGAGTAACCTGGGTCTGTTCAGCCTGTGGAAAACATGACTGAGGGGGGGGGAAATCTGATAAATGTTTATAAATATCTAAAGGGAGGTGGGGAGGCAAAGGGATGAGGCCAGGCTCTTCTCAGTGGCATGTAGCAATAGAACGATGGAACGTGGACTGGATTCAGCATGCAACAATTCAACACC